TTTTAAATTATTCAAATTGATTATTCAAAATTCAGTGAATAAGGAGTAGTTCAAGGAATACAAGATTTTTTTTTATATAATATCTTCTACCAGGAAGAGAGGACTCAACATATAATCTTGCAAAAAACGACACATTAACAAAAACAATTGTATTAAGATGATTTTTACAATAGCTACAATGCAATACATGTACGAGGGGTTGTACGAAAAGTTAGCGGACAAGTTCTATTGTGAGCGCGCTATTTCCACGGAACCGGTCAAACTTTCCGGATAAAACCTTAACCGATTTTACAATAAATTAACAAAAATTTAGTGTTCTCCAGTGATCGTTGAAAAATATACAGCTTTTTTATTTTGATAAAATTTGCTTCACGGAGCATGCTACATTTTAGGACGTTAACATCACAAAGACTCTTTATTAAAATTAAAAATTGCACAATTGTAGTGAAAAGAGATTTATGATATTTTACCTGTCGCTAAAGTATTCATGAAACGCCACTGGGAGAAATTTTGAATAAAAACGGAGGGTATATGACTTTTTTATAGCCATTTATAAATGATCAACGCGTAAAAAACACAGCCAAAAATCGGAACGTCATCAAGCGTCATGGAGCACTGCACTACGTAAAAATTATGTTTGTAGACTGGAAAATGTCTAAAAAGAGATCAAAATATTCAAGATGTTGCCAGGAATTTTCCTATACATACAAAGGACAAAGTTTTCGAATGGTTGTAGCTTTATAAGAATGGAAGGATTAACATTCTAAATGATTTTAAAACTCCATCGATACTTCAATAACCCTTATCGCCTGACGTTTTGCCTGTATGATTTTGCATAGTTTCCATTCCTGATCGATTAACTGCATAGACCTTTTTTTTAGATCTCAATAATATCCGAATCAGACATTATAGTAAAAAAGTAACATGTCTTGATGTAGATATTCAATTTTAAAGTAGAAAAAAGATAAGATAAATTTGAAGAAATGAAAGATTTAAAGAAATGGACAAAGCTTAACGACTTGAAATCTGGTCGTCACGTCGCCTTACGTCAAGTGATTGCTCCGTGAATTCCATGCCCTTACAGTAAAAATCGCTGTAAATTTTCAAGATTTAAGTAAATGGTCCTAATTTTTTACATACTAATAAACAAAATGTAGTAATTTATTAAGACATAGGTCATACTTCACAGTAAACAATAGATTCTCCATTATTTAATGTGTCCGCGAACTTTTCTAACGACCCTCGTACCTTATACATGTAAAGGTTTATTTTGCAAAATTCTTTCAACCTTAGAAAGGTGAAAGCAATTTGACCTACAGTTTAGCTAAAGATATTTTTTTCTTTAAATTTGCTTTAAAAGAAATCTAAAAGTGGCATTTAACAGCAACAACGAATATATCCTAGTATATAATACTTTCATATAAATTAGTTGAATCTGATTGGTCGAGAAATATTTGTTAAAAAACACTTTTAACCGCTGAATAATGAAGCCACGCCTTCTAGCGTAGCAAAAGTCAACATTGCTTGACGACGGGTGGTATTCCAAAAAAAATAGCGACTGCGCAGAATTTATGCGCGCACAGTTCACTGTTATATGTTTTTGTATAAAACATTCAGTATAACATAATAAATATTGGATGTAGTTGAGTGTAACATTGAGAATTTTCACCCCTCGAAAACCATTGTCAACCTCGGATGCCCCTCGGTTGATAAAGGTTTTCTTGGGGTAAAAATTCTCAATGTTGCACTCAACTACATGCAATATTAATATAATGTTGAATATCGTCTTCCATACATCAACGAGGAAGTAAACAATAAAGCAGAACAGCAGATATTGTAAAGACGTCCTAATTACATACTACATGTACATACTTAATAAACTCTTTACCAAAGTGGCAATCTCTTACAAGTCGTTAGTCAGATTTGATGCTTTCTGTATTCTTTATAGTAATAAGGAAGAAAATATTAGTGAAACGAACGTTCATAACTTTCATTATCTTTTTTTTTTTAAATAAGTCACTCTTTCATTCCTACTATATTTTTTTCTCATGTTAGGATTATGCAAAGACATGAATTCGCATATCTATAATCAAGGACAGATATGAAATAAAGATATATTCAATAATGAATTTACATGCAAATAAATTGCAAAGCTAGGGAAATGAAATAGGGAAATAAATTACAATTTGCCAAAAATATAAAAGGAAAGAAATTGAAATATTCACTTTATAAATTGAAGACGGCTTTATACTGTGTGTGTTATATCAGTATGCAATTGCTACTGAAATGGAAGAGCTCGGTTGTAACACGTACCGACATTTCTTAAATCTTAAAAGTCAGTCATTTTAAGCTGCCGGAGATCTTCTTCAGACAGTAAGTGAACAGACATACGTTCAAGGGGAAGGAGAAACATCTCGTCATCATTGCACAAAATTCTACAGAGAAGTAAAAATAAGAATTGTTTGAAATTTATTCCAAACACCGAAGGGGCACCAGATCAATATTCTTAGTGTACGAATTTCTCTGAGATTGTTTAACCATGGCTATGAGAAATTAAACTCTGACTATTCATTATATCTTTTGAATTCAAAAGAAATAATGTTTCCTGATTATCTTAATCTGCACTGCTTTATTTATTCCATATAAATAAAATCAATTTCTACTGCTTTTTTAAAATTAAATATTGATTCAGTATACAGTGATGATTTTTTTTATCACAATTAGATAGAAGTATAAAAATTTTATATCTATCTACATGATTTTTTTTTCGGAAAGAAACATGAACAATGATTTTTGTATAGGATAATAAGTTCAATCTTACAACTTTACTTGCAGACCAAGGCAACATAGCAGCTCTGTTTGTTTCCAAAATTCATGATGGAAGACATGTTAAGTGTAAAAATCTTATCATTTATTTAAATGACGAAAAGTGAAATCAATTTATAAAAACATTACCAAAGAATTTGGCTGGGAGATATACCGGAATCATGGAAAGCTTGACCAGAAATGCAGTTCAATAAATGATTACAAAACAGTTGTCTCCCAGCCACAATATTGTGACAACATACAGATGTGATAATGCGGTAAAATACATTAAACTTTATTGGAAACAAAAGTGGTGCATAAAAAGCGCCTCCGGGACACACAAATAAAAATTATGTAGTTAATTAAAAAAATGTGGAGGATGGAGTGGAGGTGGTGGTTGCTTTTTCATTCACAAAATTTTTGAGGCAGCACTCCGAGTAAACAAGAAGTATATAAATAGGATGTCTTTCGCGGCAATCTGATTGGCTGAAAACAGCTAAGGCCTTGACAAAATTTATGGACGCGGTAAAACTTGTTCACTGGAAGAACCGGGTTTACAAATTAAAGATTTTGTAAAATAACAAAAAGATAAACACATTGACTTCCACCAAAATACAAATATGAAATTTTAAACAAATCGCTTTAATTGAAAATAAACCTTATTTTATTGAAGAGAAAACATATTCAATGTGAATTTTATTTTTGGGGTCAGAGGTCATAACATGACCGAATCACCGAGCGAGGTGATATTTTGCCGACATATTTCTGTCACGGTGCAACTTGTTTTGGAATATTTCTAAATTAATAACGATGAACAAGATAAAATGATAAATAATATGGATATTTTTCAATCACAAATTGCATAATAAACCTTCTTTTGATTTGAATAAGGTTTTGAATACTATAATTAGCCTAAAACCATATACTTAATTTTCAAACCCGAAATTCCTTTGGAGTTATGTAAACTAAAACAGGCAAAATCACCGCTTTTGACTTCAAATATTTTAAGAACTTATGAAATATTTAGGTAATTCTCATCAGCGGTCATTGTTTTTTTACTATATAAAAGATAGTTCCTGAACTGGAATGCTAAACATATAAATTTGTCTTTACTATTTAATATATATAAATCTAAGCATTCAAGACATAAGCTTTCATCTATATAGTATACTTATAAATATGCTTTTGTGTCAGAGCTACAGGTGTGAAGTTATGTGTTTTTCTTTTACTTTTTATTATATAATTTTGTAAAATATTGTATGAGTATAAGATGTAAATGTTCAGATCCGATCATAATAAAAAACGTGTACTTTAATTTGAGACCAAATAAGGAAATATATATTTAACTTTTAAAATACATATTACACAAAAGTCATATACAGGTCATTTTTTTAGTGAAGTTGATATTCATATTTGGTTACGACATTTGTGTAGAATTGTTTTTCCTTCTTATTTAGTTTACTCCATAGTTTAAATGAAAAAAATCAACTAAATGATCGAGAAATCTAAATGAGTGAAAATTCTCAAACAGGATGTAAATAAATATATTTAACAATCATTTAATCATTTGATCAATAAATCAATTAATAAATGAACTTACGTGTGTTGCATTTGTCTCCATAAAAACCGACGTCACATTCGTTTGTACAGCTTCCGTTGACGTTATGGCATGTTTTGCCGTCACTACAGTTGCCACATGTCATAGAAGTTCTCCATAAAACTGAGGAATACAAGCTGATTTAATAATTGTCGAATTTTAATCACAATAATTGTGCAGAAGACGCATTGTATAAGGCAATTATATGTGAAAAATCAAAGCCCTTATATACTTGATATGGAGATTTGTTGTATCAGTTGTATAAATGTATTTTCAAGAAATGTGCTACTTATCTAATTTACAAAATTGAAATCTTGAGTAATGGGGTCCAATGAGAATATTTAAAAAAAAAAATGATCCATCTGAGAATGGAAATGAAGTTATACTGAAGAAAAAAAAATTAAAAACAAACCGTCAAATTAGTAATATGATTATACAGCTAAAACGATTCAATAATCCAATGCATTTGGTTATACTGTGATAAATTACCATATCACATTTTTTAAAAGATGTAAATAAAATTACGACATTCCCAAAATATTCAGTAACAATTTTGTCATATGTACAATAAATATTTCAAATGATATTTATTCTTTCACTAACGCAATTCACAGTGACGTCCCTGGTATCCAGGGTTACATCCCTGACAAGCACCGGTCTCTATGTGACAATAACGACAGTTTGTATCTGGACAAGGGAGGGAACAGTCTAGTCCATAGACTCCTGTTTCGTTACAACCTAGGATTAAGGATTATTTTTTTTCTTGAATTCAGGATAATTTAAAAAAGTTCAGTATTTCATTTCAGCACTAGCTGTTATATAATGTGTTACATAAAAAGGATGACAATTCTGAAAACAGTTTTAGGACCTATTTAAAGTCAATTTATTTATTGAAAAAAATCTTGATTTACTCAAGTATTAATAAAGTTAAAATTTCATAAGAGAGAGAGAGAGAGAGATTCCACAGTCTTTTCTATATAACATCCTGTACCATACTGAAACTTCAATATCAGGCGAAACAGCAGTAAAAGTAAGAACTGATGCAGACTGTGATGAGGAAAAAGTTATGTGTTTAATTATTATTATTCGATACCTAGTTTTGCATTACAGCGCACTTCATGCACTTATGATAATAATCTTCTGTTATCAAACAAGGTTTTTGTCATTTTCTTATGATTTTGATCGCTTATATGGAAACGTTATCACATGCCACTTAAGGGCTGTAAACTTATACCTATACCTGGCACTCATGACCATTTAGCAGGAAGGTTTTTTTTTTATGCCAACACCTTTTGTGACACGGGACATTGGTTATACGATCTCATCCAAAGTACCGGTCTCCAAGTCGGACAATTGGATTCCAACCAGTGACGCATTGATCATCTTCGTGAGTCTCAAGTAAACGCTCGAACCACTGCACCAAGCAGGCAACTTTATAAGAATTAAAGAAGAAAAAGTGCATACCGTAAACTTCAACTTCACACAGTTCGTTGTGAGCAAATAGGCTGAATGGAGCAGCACGTGCTGCATCCTGTGGTCTGACGTTGTAGTAGATGACATATTGACCGTGTACAGGACAGGTTATGTTGGCAATTGACGGTATGGTTGCTCTGGTGTACTTTGTATCGTGAAAACATAGATGACCGTCAAGTCTGTTCGTTGTATTTGATACATAAACATAAAAACCTAAAAATCTTGCTGTGTAGCCATTTGAAGCATCTGTAACAGAATTCAAAAATACTAATAAAATGCAGAAAGAAAGATGGGTTGGGGAGCTCGTAGGGCTTTTTTTTCAACGAGGTAAACCTTAATGAAAGTAAATGTATGTCATTCACAGTCTTATTATACATGTGCTTAACTGATATTGCAATCTTTTCGAGGATTAAATGAATGCTTTATTATATAAATTCAATATCAATCATGTTTGCGTATAAATATAAATGCTGACTGATGTTTTTCTTACTTATGGTTAGGCTTTTGTTTACACTGAATTATCGTAGGATTTCTCCGTTATTTCTCAATTATGACAAGGAGCACATGGCGGATATAACCGATTGGCTGGAGATGCTCACTCCTCTATGGCACCTTCTCTCACCTCTGTTGTTTGGAGACCTGTGTTTGCTCTGCTCCTATATCTATTTTCCATTGTTGAATAGTCTTTTGAGCTTGAACACTGTTAGTTATCTCCATATATTTCATTCTTAATGTTTGAAAAGAAATTCCCACAGACCACTGATTATAAATAAAATTGGATGCGAATTAAACGATTGTATACACAGTATATCAGACATGTAGAAAATTTATGTCCATGTTATGTTTGCCACCTCTGCTTCATATTTGGATGTTTTATTGACTAAAGACGACAAAGGCCAACTAATCAATAAATCGTCTGACAAATGGGGTGACTTCAGCTTTTTCCATCTTGAACTTTCTTTATTTATGTAGTCTTATTCCGCTAACATTAGTTTTTTTAGATCGAGGCACGCTACTGAGAGATGTATGTAAATTGAGGAATGTTCCGTTTACCTGATTTATTCCTAGAGTTCATTACATGTATGACAGGTGAACTTTTACTCGTTTAAGACACTTAATTCCACCATTTGTGTTATTATAAACTGAATACTTTGTGAAACATGTATACAATTGAAAAGTTTGACGGTTATTTAGCTATGAATGTTTATACTCAGTCAAACATCTAAATATGAAGCAATTGAAAAGCAGAAAAACAGTTATAAAAAAGATTTCATATGCAAGAGTTATAAACAATTATTAGCCATTTCGCAATTGTCGATATGTGTTGAGAGAACAATAAGCTTAACAGGTTAAATAGATTGGAATGTGCATTTAAATGTAATGCTGTTTTATTGCCTTTTGAATGTCCGCTTGTCCAGTGTTCATCAAAATGGACATAAATTTAGAAGAATTAAACAATGAACAATTTTCAAACCTTAACATGAATCACCTGTTATAAATGTATATCACTCTGTTGGAAAAGGGATCATTTTTCGGGGGGGGGGGGGGGTGCTGTCAATATTTTAAAGGAAACAGATAGAAAAAAAACCGATCCTAGGGATCTACAAAAACAATCTTTTTCTACGGCTTCGAGATTCATTTTTTGTCGTTGAAAAATGACCCCTGACATTATATTTGAGGGTCATTATTCATCTTTACAATGCCCAAAAGTTACTTAAGTGTAGATATAATAATAATAATAAAAGGGCAATTAAGGTGAGATATCGTGTTTAAGGAAGGTTGACATGCTTAAAGTTGTTCGATCATAAAAACAATGCTGCTATTTTTTATGAACGCATGTACATGAGGGAAAAAAATTTCTCCATGCAATATTATCAGTTCTGTAATATATTCTGATGTCGTGTATACTTTAGATAGACGTCAGGTTAACCCACAACGTGGAAGTACTCTGACCATCAGCTGATACGGCACACTGTCCACGCCATATCCTTAAATCAGTCTTTTGTCCATCTATGGCATTACTGGAGTTGAATAAACTGTTCATAGGATTATACTGTCTTGATTGCCATGTTGGTCTATTCAGAGCAATATTTTCTATCAACAAATAATAAAACAAATAGGGCTTATCTGGTTTATACTTTCATTGAAATAAAACTGTTTGATAATCTTTCAAGTTATCCTTAAGGAAAAGCAACATTTTTTTTTTTCAATGCCTTTATATTTCATCAAGGTTGGCGATATAAGAACATGTATCTTTTTAGTTATGTCAAAAATAAATAAAGTCAGATAAGTTAGATACATCATTTTCTTTAAAATAAATATAAATGTTAGACATTATAAACATTACATTGACAAAGTCCCCCATAAACTAAAAATATCTTACTTACACTTTTAAAACTTTGCTTTTCAGTGTACATGTACGTAAGGTGATCTTATTTGAGAGCATCTATCCTCAACAGGAGGGATATGTACTGTTACTTGTGAAAACCGGACTTATTGTCTCCCTGATGACTGTTACAATATAAGACTTTCAAGGACTTACCATACAGTATGCAAATGTATAAGCAGTTTTATATATAATACTAAGAACACAGCTGCAACATAAAAAAAGCCATTTCACATTCACTAAACTAGAAAGTAGAAGGGACTGTTTACAGTAGTATAGGTAATGTCGACAACTTAAATATAACCTGCTGACATGAATCTTTAATCTAGCTTGTTTTTTTTTTTTTTTGTCAATTGAAAATCTTCTCATTGGATGAAATAACCCTCTGTAATTGTCTGAAATACTCCGTGTTGAATTGAAATGAAGATATCATATTTGAACTTCCCATACAACGAATCATAGAGCATGCGTATAAGGTTTTAAATGACATTTTTTAAGGTTCAATATCTTATGTCTTCTTAAACAACCAGCGCATTTTTTTTGATCCCGCCTCCTTTCTAAGGTTTTGACACTTTTCAGCGTTGTATTTATTTACCCATGTACTTGATACTCAGATACATAAAATACGACGGATTTTTGTAAATATATCTCCATCCAGGATAGAAGAAGGGAATTTGCACATATTTCTTTAATATTTATAGGTAATGATATACTTTCCATAGCCAAGTGTGTAGTCGGTGGTCAATATCAAAGAAGTTGTTACTAACCTATTTAGCCCAATGTCAGTCATTTCAACATTATGCATACTGGATTAATATTCATGCAAGAAATCATTTATTATAACGAATCAAGCAATGCATAGATTTTATATGAAAAGAATAATCATGATCATACCCATTAAATTATTTAAGATTTTAACAAAAAGTATGGTTCAATTCAAGCAGATTGAGAAACATCATGGAACGTGTATTTGTTTCATTTTCTCTCTAAAAAGTGCCTTGTATCAACGATAAAGAAATAAGGGTTTCACTTAGGGTTTTTGCTATCTCCGTCTTCTTTTTATCACTTATTGAATGGGAGTATAATTCTGCATGGGTACAGAGTTATTTCAAACCAAAAATTTCTCGGCAAATCATCAGGAGTATTAATATCAAATTCCGGAGCGTCAAAGCTGTCTTATTTCTTTCTCAAAATTGGAGGGTGATGGTGAATTCCCTAAAGTCTTTTTTTTCCAGATTTATAGAAACTGCTTTATAAATTTCGTTACTATCATATACGTCTCAATATTTCACGATGTAAATCTTCCTTTTCTCTTTTAAGCCCTTAACAAATGTTCTGTAATGCACTTTTCTTGAAAAACCTTCTGACGTTTTTCTTGCTCAGAAAAGGATTTCAACGCCTTTTAAACCCACGGGTTAACCCTCAAAATCCGTTGTTAAATCAGAGCTCTCTCCAAAAATTCATGGAGAAATTTAACTACGACTTTCATTTTTCTTTTCTTTTTTTATCTTTTTGGTTTTATATCTTTTTAATTAAATTATGATAATACTTTTCTTACTATCAGGCTGTTGAGACATTGCCTTGCTTGTTTCTGTCTACGTTACTATGTCTGTTCATTTGATTAGAAACGTAGTTGGAACAAGAGGTATCTAATGAGGTGGAACTCGACCTTTAGCGAGCGATCACGTGACCTTCTCAGCCAATCAGATTCTATTTTATTAGTGGTTGTTTATATGAGGTATAATAATAATAATTTAGCCAGGAAGTCATATACGTTGTTGACAGTTAAGATACAGTAGACTTAAGCGATTTAACACTTCCAGCTAAATCATTTATCAGAAATCATAAGATTTTACCAAAATGAGTATCTGAAAAACTT